GTGTGTGTGTGTGTGTGTGTGTGTGTGTGTGTGTGTGTGTGTGTGCGCGATGTCTTTGATTTTGAATGAATAAACTTTAATCTGTTTGTTTGTTGGGAAAAACGCTAAGCCCCGCCCCCTCGCCATATCCCCTGCAGGGTGTGTTTCCCCGTGCAGATCAATCAGCTGCCCCGAGAGTCCCAGCTAACGGTGGTGCTGTACGCCAGCCCTCTGCCGCCCCCCGGAGGAGCTGAGGAGAAGGGGAAGCAGCGGCGCAGCATCGAGGCGCTGGGCTGGGTCACCATGCCGCTCTTCAACTTCAGACAGTGAGTCACATGACACTCAGACACCATCCACGCAAACCTCAAACAGGATGAAGAAGAAACTTTGAATAAATGCTGTCGGATGTTATTCAGGTTTTATGTTTGATGTGATACGCAGGAAATACTACGATACGTGATAGCATTAAACGTAACACACAGCATGAGGTCTATCTGAGGTCTGTGATGGTGCCGCGCCACAAAGTGATGGGTGGTGTTTACACTGTAGTGAATGAGGGGAGGGGCTGCGTCGAGCCGCTGGGGAGGGGAGGGGCTGCATTCAACTGCAAGAGGTGAGGGTCAGTCTTGATTTTCGTTGATAATTGTCGATCAATGAATCAGGTGGAACACAGGTTAGCAGAGCAGCGTTACTCCTTTAAACCAATGCTGGTGACGGGGTGGCTCCAATGGTGGTGATCACACCCACCCAGAGGTGGGCGAGGATGAGCTCAATCCAGATGTTTGGCTGGCTTTGACGTCTGTAATGAATCTGAATTGAAACACGTTTGACTGAAGTGAAACGTGAAGTTGGGATGTGGTTAAATCCAGACTTCTTGCTTGCTTTCTGTTTCTGTGAGCTAATGAAGGTTTGAGGAGATTCAACCTCATTCACATGTTTAAAATAAACCTTGAGGTCCTTTTCATCCATCCATCCATTTTCTTCCGCTTATCCGAGGCCGGGTCGCGGGGCAGCAGCCCAAGCAGAGAGGCCCAGCTCCCCAGCCACCTCCTCCAGCTTATCCGGGGGAACACCAAGGCGTTCCCAGGCCAGCCAAGAGATACGATCTCTCCAGCGTGTCCTGGGTCTGCCGCGGGACCTCCACCCGGTGGGACATGCGTAGAACACCTCGCCCAGGAGGCGCCCAGGAGGCATCCTTGTCAGATGCCCGAACCACCTCAGCTGACTCCTTTCGATGTGGAGCAGCGGCTCTACTCTGAGCCCCTCCCGGATGGCTGAACTTCTCCCCCTATCTCTAAGGGAGAGGCCAGCCACCCTTCAGAGGAAGCTCATTTCCGCCGCTTGTATCCGCGATCTCGTTCTTTCAGTCACTGCCCACAGCTCGTGACCATAGGTGAGGGTAGGGACGTAGATCGACCGGTAAATTGAGAGCTTCGCTTTTACACTCAGCTCTCTTCACCACAGCAGACCAGTACAGCGTCTGCATTACTGCAGCTGACTCTTCAAATAAGCCTCTGCAGATGATCTGTTAGCTGTTTGTTTACTCTTTCAAGCATGTTTGATATGAAGGACAAAATGAAAGCTGCGCGTTCCCCTGTGGCGTGTCCATCCTGGGTTTTTTTCACTTCGTGCTCACAGCTGAACAAACAAATGTTTCCTTCAGTCCTGCAGCTTCCTACACAGGCTTTGTGATGTCATTTCCTCCCAGGAGCAGCTCGCTTCCTCACATTTACCTGGAAGTCCAGAGTGGAAACAGATTTAAAAACAAAGGGAGAGAGAGGGGCGTGACTTCTTCATCATCATCATCATCTTTATTATAGAGCTGTGTGTGTGTGTGTGTACGTGCAGCGTGCTGACGTGTGGCAGGAAGTTGCTGGGTCTGTGGCCTTCAACCCCGGGGAGGAGCGGAAACGCCCGAACAAGTTCGCCCAACTTCAGCCAGCCGGACAGCGTCATCCTACAGGTGAGCGCCGCCACAGCTGCTGGCACCTGAGTAGTCTGTGACATCACAAACCTGTAGAGCTTTTTGAGCCGTTTCATCAGCTGTTCAGGCGACGTTTTCATTGTCCAATGAGAAGTCACCAGGATGGCTGATGAAACGTGTCTGCTTACCTGTGTGCTGGATGCAGGTGTGCCCCTTTCTTTATTTATACACTGAGTTCAGCTGAGGTCAGACCTGCAGGTATCTGAGGCCCAGACACTAGCATGTGTGTGTCCTCGCTTCCTCTCAGGTCGACTTCCCCACGTCATCCTTCGAGGTGCGCTTCAGCACGCCGCCTCCTGCAGACTTCTGCCCTCAATACAACTTCTCCAGACTGGACACCATCAGCCAGATACAGCTGCAGGACGTCCTGCACAAGAAGGCCTTCTTCTGGTCAGACACACACACACACACACTCTCAAGGGCTGTATCCCAATTCAGGGTCTGCAGCCTAAAAGGCCGCATTTTAAGGCCGATCACAGCGACGCAACGAAGGCTGTCCCAATTCAAAGGCTGCTCAAAATGCAGCCCTCAAATGCGTCCTTCATTTCTCCGGATTTGAAGGATGGGTTGGTGTATCTGAGCTAAGTTGATCTATAGTGTTACATCATATTCTATAAGGATGTTATGTGTTTGTAGACTTTCTGCCCAGTTTGACCCATTTAGCAGAAGTCAGCCTGTTTAAGGCTCTGATATCTATTCTGTGTGACTTAAAGCAGTTATGACATGGTCTGATTTTCTCACCCAATAAAGGAA